TCCTGCTGAGTTTCCCTGTGCTGTGCCAGGCTTCCTGTGATCACTCAGAGGCTTCAGGAAGAACGTCTTACATTCAAAAGCTTATATAACTTTATCCCAGCTACACATTTTATCCAATAAAAGATATCACCCTAAGAAATCCTTGCCTCCCACATAATTTCTGGACCATCACAGCTACAATATCGCTTTCTTACTCTAAGGTATTTATTAAGCATGATTAAATGTGTAAATAATTTGTTGTATTCATAATGCTAGAAATAGGTTTTAAACATAATTGAGACACCACAGGTGTGGAGGACCAGTTTAGAGAATGCTTGATAAATGACAGACAGGTGTAAGACAAGCAGCCAAAATAAGGCACTGAAGAGTAGTTAAATACACTAGAAAAGATGCGATAACAGAGCGGACAGAATGGTGGGGTGAGGTCAGCAGTGCTGATCTTGTCTCCCCTCCCCTCCCGTTCCCTGCAGGTGGCCATGTTGGGGGGGGGGAGGGCAGGCCAAGGGAGCTGGCCTGGCACCCCCGCTTGCTTCTTGGAGGTGGTGGCAGTGGCGCGGGGGGGAGCAGAGTTGGGACGCTGCGGGTGGTGGGTGGGGGGCAGGCCACCGGTGCTGGCCTCGGCCCGTTCCTCCCGCCTTCCCCACCACAGCGGGGGGGGAAGCAGGCCCGGGTGGGGTGCAGATATAGGGCTCTGTCCCTGCCCGCTCCCCCTCCCCTTTCATTCTTGATGGGCAATTGGCTAGTATTCTCACTAAAATTGATAAAAAAATACCAATCTGAAGATATTCATTTATTATGCAAAAATTAATTAAAATGGGTGTACTTTGAACAGGAAAAATTTAAAGTATTTTTAAATGGTAACTGTGGCAGAGCACTGTTGGTGCCTGCCCCTTTAAGGGCTGGGTCAGGCATCCAGGCCTGATGGTGGCAGCCATTTTGAGAACCTGGTATATAAAGGCTGCAGTCTGATGCTCCCAGCTGAGGTAGAAACATTGCCTAGCTGAGCTGCAGCAGGACCAACTCAGGAGGCAAGGGCAAGAGCTTACGGGGATGGCTAGGAGGCTTTTGGTCCTGGGCATGACCTAAAACTGTACCCTGCCAGGGATGCATGGCCTAGTGGGGCTCCTAGTGGTGTGGGAGCCTCCAGGAAGTGCCAGGCCAGTTACTACCCTGGTGAAAGGCGGGCCGGAGCGCCTTAACCCCAGCTCCCACAACTGGGTGGGTTACCCCATTGTAGGGCTGAGAAGGTGGACCCGTGTTAGGGAATGGGCTAGAGGCTCAGAAGCCTGACTTGAGGCATCCTCAACTGGGGCCAGGACCCCTCAATGCTGAGGCCAGGACCAGAAGGGTCAAACGGGCCAGGGGCCCATTGCAAGGGGTGCCTAGAGCTGAGGGCCTGGGGTTCTGACTGGCCTTGGAGGTGAGGCCAGGGCCTGTGTGGCCAAAGTCCTGGGGAGGCCATGCCTGAGAGGGGGAAGAGTTCAGGGAACTAGACAGCCCAGAATAAGGATGAAGTAAGCCGCCTGATTGGAGGGATCCAGTTGGGGTCTGGACTGGAGGATTATGGGGCCCAGTGTGGGGCAGGTGAAGTTAAGAAGTGTGATGCCATCTGCAAGGCATGGGCTGCAGTATAGGGGAGGTCAGAGCCACAGGTAGCGCCCCCTGGCATTGGTGCCTGTAATGGGCAGTCTCCTGCATTTTACCACCCATTGTGAGGACAGCGAAGTTGTGGCAGGCGAGACTGCGCAGACTGCCCCCTAGAGACAGGTGAGCAGGCTGGCATGAGATCTGGCCCTGAGAGTTGTCCCCTGACACAGTAACAAACAGGGAAATAATTTTATTGAAAACATTTTGTCCCAGGGAGAGACAAATGGGGGAGACCCCAAAGCCCAAGGGGGGAGCCCTGGGGCCAGGAAACAGGGGAGGAGCAGGAAAAACAAAAGTAAAAAAAGGAAACTTACCCGCAACAGGATCTGAGGCAAAACAGGAACGACGGGGAAAGCCCGCGCGGGTTATTAGCCGCGCTTCCATTCAGCTGCGGCCGGCGGGTGACGTCAGCAGCAATTACCGGCCGGCAGAAACAAAAAGGACGGCACACAAAGAGGCGGGGGTTCGGACGCTGGTAGGAGCCCCAGCTGGTGGAGTCAGCTGGAAGGACGGGGTGGAGCGAGAGGCAGCGATCGCTAGCAGAGGAGGAGCCGACGCCTCAGGCAGCAAGGGAAAGGTTGTTGGTGGCAGTAAAGACAAACCGGCACTAGGAGCAGGAGCTCCAGTGCCAGGCAAGGCAGAAAATAAAGAAGGAAGCTGGAAAAACCCCAGGACCAGTAGCCTCCAAGGAGAAGGGGGAAACGCTGGTCCTCCTTACAGCATCCAAACAGGTGGGACGGTGGAGGGACCCGGGGTGCGTGAAGAGATGCCGCAGGGGGAGGGGCAACATTGTGAAGGCCCAGAGAGAGGGCTGCAGGGTTGTGGAATTCCAGAGAGAGGGCTGCAGGGTTGAGAAGACCTGGAGAGAGGGCG